CTCCATTCAGATGTCACAGAGGCCCTTTATAATAATCAGGTCCATACTAATTCCACACCTGTCCTGCTCCATGGTTCTTTATCTCAATGACTGGCACTCTAACCACCCTACCATGAAAAATCCTTTATTAATGTCTCTCCTTCACATCTGAAGCACTAGGTGCTGTTGATTTTACCTACTAAGGATATTTTGAATCCATCTACCTCTCTTGAATCTTCACTGACACTCCTTAATCAAATCCAACATCATGTCCTGGCTAGATAGTCACTGTCTAAATGATACCTCCTCAGATCTGCTCACACTGGGGCCAAATCTTGTTCTTATAAAAAACAGATTAGTTCATGACTCTCTTCAATTCAGATCATTCTACAGTTTCCCACTATTGTTAGGGTAAAGTCTAAAATCCTTAACATGGAGTGTTAGGCTCTACAGGATGGGGACCCCACCTGTCTCTGCAGCCATACCTCTTGGCACCCTCCTCCTTCCCCGTGGCCACTCTTGCCATATTTTAGTTCTCACACACACACACCATGCTCCCTCCCACTTAGAGGCCTTTGAAAAAGTAGTTCCCATTACTTGAAATGATTTCCTCTATCCCATTCCTCTTCATGTAGTTAATTCCTAATCAAGCTGCAAATTTTAACTCAAACAGCATTTTCTTAGAAAGTCTTCCATGATCCCTGAAGACAATCAGTGATTTGGTGAGGTGGTTGGGGTACCAACCATTGGAGGATATATTAGAATTCACTGGAGAATTTTTTAAAAATATATTTTCAAAATGTTCGTGGAAGTGGAAAAAAATTGAGAACTACTCTTCTAGATGGCCTTCAAAGTGCCTTCCAACTCCAGATCTGTAATTCTCTGGTGCGCAAAGTGTTGTTAGGACACAGTCAGTATTCCCACCAGCACTCTGAACACACAGGGTAGGTTGCCAGAAAAACAAACAACACCAGTCAAGTATGAATTTCAGATAAACAACAAATAATAAATCTGAAATTCAAATTTAACTGGTATTCTATATTTTCATATGCTAAATCTGACAACTCTGTACTGAGGCACATCTTTGATAAATGGGAGATAGGTGGTGGTTAAATTCTTCTCCCTTCCCAAGGACTGTCCTGAGACATAGCGTTTCATACAGTACAGTGTGTCCCATAAAATCAGCACAAAGTGATTAGTTCCACAAGGTCAAGCAATCAGCAGCCCTGGACACATGCAGGGACCAGCATTCCCATATCAGCTTTTCTTCTTTTTCTGACTTTGCCCCTTTTTTTCACTACTTCCAGGGACCACACTCCCTAAAGCAGCTTTGGCTTCCATAGAGGCTTTGGCTTCCATGTAAGCTTTGGTCTTAGGTTCTGTTTCCTAGGAAACCCTATCCATCAAGAAGGAATGGGAAAACAAACTGTGGTTTATTCATGTGATGGAATTCTATGTAACAGTTAATATATACGAACTCGATTTATATGTATCAACATGGACAGATTGCAAAATTAACGGTAAGTAAAAACAGCAAATTGTCTAAGGATACATACAGCATTTTATTATTAATATCTCTTTTCATGCACAGACCATACCTACATTGTTTATGGGAACATAAGTATATAGTAAAATATAAAATTATGTTTGAGAATAAAATGAGCAACTTACAGTTGTTGGTTACCCCTGGTGAGGGAGAGAGGGAGAAAGAACAAGGATGGAAGTTGATGTAGACAGACTTTAACTATAACATTTGTTTCTTAAAGAAAAAGGCTATCTGAAGCACATAATGCAAACTGTTAATATCTGCTAAGTGTAAATGGTGGATGTATGGTATATCATTCTCTGTACTTTTCTGTATGGTTGGCATTTCATAGTTTTGAAAAACCTAATTACATTTAAAATCAGTTGCTTCTTGTTTAACAAGGACAAAGCAAGTAGAAATTGATTTCAGCTGCCCAATAGAAGACAAAAGAGCTGTGAAACCCAAATTTCAATTGCCCAGAGAGAATGTGGAATCTCCCTCTTTCTTATCCATGGAACACCTCTTTCGTGTGAGGCACTGTAATAGGCACTTGGGAAGAGATGATTGTATGTAAAACAGCCCAGTACCAAAAAGAGTTTATAATCTGCATGGGCCTACTCACAAAAGAATTGTATTCTAAATATTTACTTGTAAGTCTGTGGGTTAGAATTCAAGCCTCAAGGAAGAAAAGAAAATGTTATCAACAGTGGTTAAGTTCTTAAGTTAACACTCAAAAGGCCTATTTGTTCTATAATAGAAAATTATTGAATTCCAGGGGTGGAAGGAATCTTAATGTAATTGAAATGCCACACATTTGCGATGAAAAATAGTGGAAAACAAGTTTTGAAACTGGTAACAGGACAGCAGAGAAAAACAATAGAGTTGAATAAGAAATAGCTTTTTTCATTATCTGGAATGCTGAAGTTTGAGGAAAAGAAGAACTAATTAAAGGCAGGTTGGAAAGCAAGGGAAGCTTGTAGAAATTCTGATGGGAGAGTTGTGGGCATTCCAAGGGCTTTTGAGGTTGATGGCACTGACTTTCTGGTCATTTATAGTTTCTACATTCACTTTAAACAAAGAGCCTTTTTCCCCTTGATTTCTAGTTTTCACTGATGATCTTATACTTACTTTTCTACCACAATTAGGGATCTATAATTCATTGAATTAAGACCAGAAAACACACTGTGTGTGTGCCTTAAAAAGATTGCCTCAGGGGGTCTTAGCTAAAGTCTGAGTGGATCAGGGAAGGAAAAGAACAAGCAAAAGTGTACCATGATTTTGGCAAAATCCTAAGGGAGAAAAAAATGAAGAAACAAATATAGGTCAGACATGCCCTGCACTGGCTACAAGGTCTGGGACTGACCAGAGATGGTGTACCCATAGTTAGAGCAGAAACCAAGTACAAAATACATGCACATTCTTCAAATTACTAAACATGGGATTACCATGTGATCTAGCAATTCCATTTCTGGGTATATATACCCAAAAGAACTCAAAGTAGGATCTTTAAGAGAGATTTGTATACTCAACTCCATAGCAGTACTATTAATAATAGCCAAAGGTGAAAGCAATCCAAGTGCCCATCAAAGGGTAAGCAAAACCTGGTCTATACACACAACAGATACACACAATGGGCATACACAGTGGATACAATTATTCAACTTAAAAAGGAAGGCCATCCTGTCAAATGCTACACCATGGATGAACCTTGAGGACTGTAAGTCTGGGGAAAGGAAATCCCGGGGCAAAATACCTCTAAAAACCAAAATCAGTCAAAGGGAGAAATAAAGTTTAAAACCCGTTTATTGCTTACAAAACTGCAGTCCGGTCCATCTCTCTCTCCTGCTCAAGCAGCCACAACACCAGCTCTCCCCCTCACCTCTCAGGTACAGATAAGCCCTCTGTTGCCCAGGTAATTACCCACTGATATGGAGATGAACTTCTCCACCCCTGAGGAAGAATGCAAATGCACTACAGCCTACTTGTTTACATCTCTGAATGACTGTTGATGCAGATACACCAAAGCCAGGCGAGAAATTCTGGAAATGTTTCAGTTTTACCCTCAGTCCACCCCTCCAGAAATCTCACCTTACAATTTACTCCATCTCCCTCTTCCAACCAATCTAGTAACATGCAATAGCAACAGCAATAAAATCCTGATAATTCTCAAGCCAGAGGATTCAGCCTATGCTGATTATGTAAATGTACTTCATAGCATAATCTCTCACTAAGCACAAAATATGTTTCTACACTTGTTTACTCATTCCTAACAATCATGCTAGATTGCTCACAAAACTTTTACCAAACATTAGACAAAGTCAAGCCTCTCTTGAAACATTATGTTCTTGACAACAGCAAAACAATCATAATTCTCAAGCCAGAGGATTCAGCTAGGTTCAAAGTCTCATGCAGATTAAGTCCAAAGCTCTTCCATTCCAGCCATCACGTGGCAGCTGCAGCCAGGGAGCACATCAGGGACACAAAGACCATAGAAGCAAATAACCATGATTGTCGGGGGCCAATTTGCTGTTATTACAGGAATACACAGAAGGCCAGCTTCCAGGCCTTTTCCCCAAGGGGCCAGAAGAGCCGACCATCACCGATCCATGTGTTGAAATGTCCAGGGCCATGTCCATTTTACTCCTAATTGCTGCACCCATCCTTGCAACACATGTCCAATAAAGTGGGTACCTCAATCATTCTCAGTAACCGGCGACCAACCATAGGCTGCAGAGAGACACTCTAGGCCCCTCTTGGTGGTTTGCTGATCTGCACAACATGCAGGGCACTCCTTCCGGGCTCGGCTGACTTCTTCAAAGGCGAAAGACAAGCCACACCAATGGGCCCACATTGTCTTTTGAGGTGTCTGTGCCACACCACCCCGTGGCCTTTGGGTCCAGTCTCGCACCCACCCCACGATGGAATAGGAGGTTATTACCTTGGTTGGAGCTGTTCTGGTGATGGGCTCTGTAGCCAGCAAGGCATGGTACACAGCAGCCAGTTGCTTCTCTATCAAGGTGACCCGGACCTCTGCTCCTTTCCATGGTTGTGGCATGGCTCCAGGCGGCAGCAAGGGCAGCAGTGGCAGAAGCAGTAGCCTTAGGCTCAGGCCACGGGCCGGGGTTGGCATGGCCAGCAGCAGTGGTGGCGCCTCCACGACCACACGAGTGTAGACCTATGTCCTTCAGTGCGAGCGCCGCTTCTCCCCATCATTTCTAGGGGAAGCCCTCCCAAATGTCGCACCCATTATGACAGGTTTCAGGTTCACAGGAGTCCTGCTGACTATGCCAATTGTAAGTCTGGGGAAAGGAAATCCCAGGGCAAAATACCTCTAAAAACCAAAATCAGTCAAAGGGAGAAATAAAGTTTAAAACCCGTTTATTGTTTACAAAACTGCAATCTGGCCCATCCCTCTCTCCTGCTCAAGCAGCCACAACACCAGCCCTACCCCTCACCTCTCAGGTACAGATAGGCCCTCTGTTGCCCAGGTAATTGCCCATTGATATGGAGATGAACTTCTCCACCCGTGAGGAAAGATGCAAATGCACTACAGCCTACTTGTTTACACCTCCGAATGCCTGTTAATATGCAGATACACCAAAGACAGGCGAGAAATTCTGGAAATGTTTCAATTTTACCCACAAAGACATTCAGCTGAGTGAAATAAGCCAGTCACAAAAAACACAAATGCTGTGTGATCCCACTTATAGGTAGTACCTATCAGAGAGACTAAAAATGCAATGGTGGTTGCAAGAGACTGAGGGGAAAAGGGTTGGGGAGTTGTTTAAAGGATAGACAGTTTCAGTTTTTCAAGATGAAAAATGTTCTGGAGATGAAAGGAGGTCATTGCTGCCCAACACTGAAGGAAATTAACAATACTGAACTATATAATTAAATATGGTTAAGATGGTAAATTTTATGTTATGTGTGTTTTACTACAATTAAAAATGAAAAAATAACTAAAAATAACAATAAATAAATACATCACAGTGAAGGAGAGATGCTGGTAGGGCAAATGGACTGGTTTCAAGGAAGATGAAAGAAGAGGTTTGTGAGCTATAATAACATCAGGTAAAATCATTTACAGGACAATCACCACTTCTACTAACATAGCTCCTAGTGCTTTCTCTTCTGCACACTTACAGCATTGCAATCAGTTATGTGCGTGGCTATGGGTAAAATTGTAATATTCCAGAATTTCTCACCTGGCTCTAGTGCATCTCCATATGAACAGGCTTTGCTAAGGGGTGAACAGAAGTAGTTCATCTCCATATCAATGGGTAATTACCTGGGCACCTGAGGGCTTATCTGAACCTGAGAGGCTGAGGGGAGGTTTCACTTACTTCTGTGGGAAGAGGAGGGAGACGTCCCCCAGACTGCAGTTTGTAAGCAATAAAAGGGTTTTAAATTTTATTTCTCCCTTTGGCTGATTTCGGTTTCAGCTAGGTAATTTGCCCTGGGATTTCTGCTCCCCGGAGTTACAATGGCAAAGTGTCCTTGTCTCTCTCCCCTCAATCCCAAAGCAGTGAAGGTAGGAGCCACATCTGCTGTGCCCAACACTCTACCTCCCAAGCCATCATATTGACAGACCCTTTAGAGAGCCGACTAGTATTTGTGGAATGAATGAATCTGTAACCACAGGAATAACTATTCCTCAATAGTCAAATTACAATGAAAGAAAGCAATAAAAAATAGATTATAACAAAAATAAATGCTGTAAGTGATAAGACATATGAGTACCAAGGTAAGTGATAATCATTGTGCCTTGGAAAAGTTTGCTCGGAGAAGGAGGGACCTGAATTAAGGCCTGTACCTGCCCCTGCTCCGCTCTGCTGTGTGGCACCCACCTGGACCGTGGATACTTCACTGCTATTCCGTAATGAATATGACCCACTTGCCAATAATTAAATACAGATGGTTGTACTTTCAAGGTCCTCTGATTTTATTTGCAGTTCCTCTTTTGTCTTGTGGGTCTGTGATTAAGTAAGAGAAAACTAGTGTGATTAATAGGATCTTAAAGTTCTCACTTTGAAAATACCAGTATTTCTGAACTGCACTTACTTCCTCTTTAAAATTGGCATGGCCTTAACATTAAACATCTTGGCACTCCAGGTCTGATGAATTACTAATAAAATAAATTAAAGTTCTTTGTAAATAAAAAATATGTATGGTGAGAATAAGACCTTGCATTCAAAAAGGGTGCCTCATTTATCCACCAAAAGAGAAAGACAAAAAAGAAATAAAAACAATCTTTGGGTAACAAATGGATAAATATAAATAGTATTATTACACTTGCCTATAGAATGAATACAAGAAGAAAAGAAAGGGCAGGCAACTTGCCCAAGGTCACTCTGGAAATCAGTGATGGGGACCCAGAATGGAAACAAGGTTGCCAGGCTCCTGGCCGTGTGCATTTCTCTCAGGGCCATAAATTACAGGACTGTTTAGGTCTCTAGATTCTCCAGATGTTGCCATCTCCTCTATGTCCTTGTGCTGCCACCCAATGCTTTCACATTTTTTATGGAGTTAGATACAAGTCTCCCTCCTGCTGACAGGTTTATTACCCCAAGAAACCATTATCTCCTGCTAACTCAGAAAGTTATACTTGATTGTTGGTGCAGTAACCAAACAGGAGTCAAAGACACTTCTATGATTGATGCACCCATCCCCGGAAACAGCTGAAAACATTACTGCTTTGATATTCCCATATTTTTCAGGCCTAAAGGTTAATCAGTTGACCGTGTTACACAGAAAGTCTTTTTAAAAGTCCAACAACAAAGACTGTAAGTTGGAGAACTCTTCCCCAGGCCAGGAAAAGTTGTTAATGCCCAGAAGAGAAGTTTGAACAAAGCAGTGAAACGTAAGCATTGTTAAGTTCACATGGCAATTGGGTGGTGCTCTATGCAAGTATCGGTGTCAGAATCTAAAGAGCACCAAGTGGAGCTAACAATTGCTTGAGCATGACTGCCAGTTGAAAGAAAAGAAGAAAACATATAGGAGAAATATAGGAAGAGAAAAGAAAAGATAGAGGAAAATGAAGGAAGAGGAAAGAGAAGAAGGAAAATATAAAAAGGAAAGAGTAAAAGAAAAGAATGAAGTACATATTAAGAATAACTAACAGTTATAATATTTACAGCTTATAAAAGATTTTTACATAGATCTATTCATGGATTGCTCAAAATTCATGCACAGTAGATAATATCCCAATTTGAAGAATGAATCTCATATGCCAAAGATCATAATGTTAGGAAATAGAACGCAGCAGACTCAAATACAGCAGATCTTGCCATCTCCACCAAGGGTCAGGATGCTTGCACTGGGTTATACATAAGGGGGCATTAAGCCTAGAATCTGACAGTGACCCGCAGGGACCATGTGGGAACCCTCAGCTGTGTAACACAGTATAAAGAACCCCAAAAGCCTTTACTACAGACCTTGCACAACTTCTACCTTCTCCAAGCAAAAAGGATGAGAAAAGGAGGATGGCAGGGGAACCCACTTCTTCAAAAATGAATAAAATTTTAAGAATGACATTCTACTCTTAGGAAGAAAAGCACATGCAAAGACATTGAGGCACAAAATAATGCCCAGTTTTAGAGAATGTGAAAATGATCAGCATGGGTGAAGCATGTGGTGAAAGATGTAAAACAAAGATGACGCTGATTAAGTGGTGGGTCTGGGAGGCCCTTATAAACCATACTGAGGAACATGAAGTTCATCCTATCAGCAATGGGGAGACTCCAAAGATTTAAAGAGAAGAGGAGTTGCAAATATGACCAGATCTCCTTTGGAAAACCCTGACTGCAATACAGAAGGGAAGAGTGTTTATGGAACAAGACATGGGGTGAAATTCATGCAAGGAAATCTGAAATAAGAAAAAAAAGGACATAGTCTAGAGACATTTCAGAAGTAAAATCAATAGATGGAACCCCGGGAGGGAAGGAGTCAAAGACGCTTCTTGGAATTCTGGCTTCCATAGCTGGGTAAAATGTAATGACATCCATCAAGACTGAGAAGATAAAACTTGTCATCTGGGGCATACTGAATTTGAAGTATCTTTGGACATAGGTATCTGTGTCAACTAGGCTGATGAAATTATGGTTCTGGGGCCCAAGAGAAAGTTAGTACTAATAAGACAGATTTGGGAATTGCCAGTAAATAGATAATGGTAGAAGTCACAGCAGTAGAACCAAGTGTCAATAACCAGCCTGGATCAAACTCTGAAAACTCAGCCTTCGAAAGGACCCTCAGCTATGTAATAAAGGATTGGAAATGTCCACTAGATAACTGGCTTTCATGGAAACATTTCCCAACCAGCTGATGGACTCACCAATATCTATTTTCACCCTACCTCTCTACCCTCTCTCCTGTACTTTTACGGAATGGAACATATCACTTAACATGTTTTCCAGGCTCTAGATCCTCCTGTTTTGTTTCCTAAATTCCAACTAAACTTCCTTCTAGCTGCAGAATCTCCAACAAATGATAACTCAGTCACCAAGCCATTATCACATGGCCCTAGGAATCTGCATGTGTGCACTCTTCTGAAGCAGTACTGGCCTGCCTTGGACACCCTGACACTAAAAATCTTAATAGCCAAAAGGCACAAACAACCCAAATGTCTATCAACAAATGAATGATAAACATTTATTTATCCATAAAATGGAATATTACCCAGCCTTAAAAAGAAAGGAATTCTGGTACATGCTACAAAATAGATGAGCTTTGAGGACATTATTCTAAGTGAAATAAGCCAGTCACAAAAGGCAAATACTGTATGATTTCACTCACATAAGGTTCCTAGAGTAGTTAAATTGACACAGAAAGTAGAATGGCAGTTGCCAGGAGCTGGAGGAAGGCAAATAGGGAGTTATTGTTTAATGGGAACAGAGTTTCTGTTTAGGATGATGAAAAAGGTTGTGGAGATGGATAATGGTAATGGTTACACAACATTATGAAGGTACTTAATGCCACTGAAATGTATGCTTAAAAGTGGCTAAAATGGCAGCCAAAAAAAAGATACCCAACATAAGAATAGTTGATTATTTTCTATTTGTAAAATGGAATACAACAGAGCAATGAAAAAGAACAATTACAGTATACAAAAACACAAATGAATCTTACATACATAATGTTAAACACAAAAAAGCCAGTTATGACAGTGTATATTCTATACAATTACCTTATGTCAAGTTCAAGAACAGGCAAAACTAACTTGTGGTGATAGGAGTCAGAAGAGTTAGCTTGTAAGAGGTATACTGCATACAAGAGCTCAGAAGAACCTGCTGAGTGCCGAAATGTTCCACACGAGAATCTGAGTGGTGGTTACTCAGGTGTATACATAGGTAAAACTTACCGGTGGAACACCAAAGATTTGTACACTTGACTCTATGTAAGTTATGTCTCAACATTTAAAACGAAAAACAAGATGCCCTCAACAAAAATTGTTTAAATGTTTCCAAGCTTATTCAACACCAGGCTAAAGTAAGCTGCAGCATGTGAATGGATGTTCGGACTGAGAGGAAAAGAAAGAAATTATTTGTGGGATGGGGAGGGGGCATATTAGGCTTTGGAGGGATGAGCACCATAATCTGCCACTGTGGGGGTTTCGGAAGAGACAGGGAGAAAGCTCAGAAAAGATCAGGGGCTTAGCATTTTATTTCAAAGTTCAGTTCAATAAAATCCAGTGAATAAATGATTATTGAGCATTTAGTGCCAAATACAATGCGAAGTTCTAGGACAGTTTCTCAGAGAGGACCGGCCACATCAGAATCACATAAGTTGTTTGTCTAAAGTGCAGGTTCTTGGACACCACCCTAGATCTACTGATTCAGAAACTCAGGGGGCTGCACCCAGGAATCTCTCTTTCAACAGTCACTCCAAGTGACTGTAAGATGAATGACATCACTTTGTTCTGCAAGACCTCTCTGCCCTCAAGAGACTGCGGGATTGAAACAAGACATATAAACAGTGATTTACATTTCATGAGGCAACTACAGTGATTGAGATCCGCAGAGACGGCTAAGAGAGCTTGGGAGGATAACTGAGGGTGGAAGAGGGAATGATAGGTTAAATCAGGTGAGGTGCTACCTGCGCTGAGTCAAAAAGGCTGTGGAGCAATTAAAAAAGCAAATTGGGGTGAAGAAAAGGATGGAGAGGTGGTTGGTTTGCAAAGTGTGGGTTCCTAAAAGTAGAAACAGCCTCACCTGGGAACTTAGTCGAAATGCAAATTATCAAGCCCCACCCCAGACCAACTGAGTCAGAATTTCTGGGGGTGGCCCCAGCAACCTTTTTTGAAGCCCTCCAGGGGCTTCTGCTGCCTACTTAAGTGAAGGAGCCAGATCAGCGGGGGCGGAGAGGGGAAGGCAGGCAGGTAGGAATGCAGCTTCAGAGCCAAGTTGCCCGGGTCCAAACCCATGCGTACTTGTTACCTGCTGGGTGAGCTTAAGTGAATTACTTTCTTTGGGCCTCAGTTTCTTCATCCCTATAATAATAGTATCTAACTCCTGATATTACACGTAAAGTGCCCGGCACATAGTAAGCGCTGTACATGTGCTTGTTGTTAATAGTGGACACGTGGGCAAGGGGACCAGCAGGAGCCTGGCTGGGCCGTTTCACAGGCAGCTGCCAGTTGATCAGCAGGCATAAAGCAGGGAGTGGCATGAGCTGTGGGAGGTCTGGAGAGGTCAGGAGAGGACTGCTCATGGCATTCTGTGTTTTAAAAAGAAAAAGACACCAGGGAGTCTCCACTTCCAAAAAGATGGACTTATGTGTACTTTTTCCTGTTCCTCCAACTAAGTACAACTAAAATCCCCAGATATTATAAATAATAAGATTCTCAAAAGTGGAGAGAAAAAGGCACACCAGGGAGGGATCTCAGGACCTGAGGAATGACACAGTGATGAGTTCAATGTTTTTCTGGCTCACATATCCCAGAGTTGGAGCCAATGTACCCAGTAACCCAGAAATGCCAACGGGTGCAGACAAAAAAAACGCCCCAGCAAAGACATGTTCTCTCTAGCCAAAGGACCAGGAGAAGAGCAGCCTAGAAAGACAAAACTTTTAGATAACTGCTCTACTCTAGCCAAGCACCACAGAAAAAGCTGTAGTCCTACATCCACTCACACCTGCAAAGCCCAGAAGCCCAGATTCCACTCACCAGGCTGTATCGAGATGTCCCAAATCCCATAACTGAGGTGTCAGAGAGGCTAGGTGGGGATCTGGAATTTCCCTGTCCATCAGGAAAGAATGAAGCCCCTTCTACAGTGTCAATGGAAACTACTTGGTGGCCAGAACTCCTACCTCCAGCCAGTAGGAGGGAGGAGCACCCACTCTTCTTTCCCAAGCTCCCACCCCTTCTGTATGATGTGAATATCTGATTTGTGATATTGTACTTTAATTTTGCAAGTTACCATTGGGGGAAACTTGGTAAAGGGTACAGGGGCTCCTGATGTATTATTTCTTAAAATTGTGTGCACATCTACAATGACCTCAAAATTAAAATTTTTAATTTAAAAAAATGGAAAAGAAAACTGAACCAAATCACATGGCAAAGAAGAGCTACAGGTTTTAAGGATTAGACTGGTACCATAAGCAACCTTTTCTGAATGCAGTTTCACAGAAAGCTCAGGTTGTAACAGCCTTTGAACATCACTGAAATTCACCTGAGAGGAACCTTGGCATATGCACTGTAGGCTGTCTGCTCTGAGAAATAATATTCCATTTGGCACCATTAGAGCTCAAGACTGATCTTCCTTTACCTGTAAACTGTAGGAGGCGTCAGTGGAGCCCAAGGACAGTTTGAAGTTTCTAGGTTTCTGGGTGTGGGAAGCCTTGAGGGGAACATCAGGAGGGTGAAAGATGACATTACTTACTGAGAGCAAGATCTTGACTTGTGAGGAGGCTCTTGTTTCTGACAAATACGCTTGTGAACCAACTCTGTTAACTCCAGTAGGATCTGGAAATCCAAAAGGGTAAACACAACTCAGTGTGATCTGTGATCAGAGGAGGCTGCCAGACACTTTCTCAACAAGAAAGATTTTTGAAAATGAAAATCATAAGATACTCCCTGTGCAATCAGTTTGTTTCTACTTGCACAGCTCTAGCTCCAACATTTCAAGCCCCATACCTACGTGGGATAGAGCTGCCCGGACCGGCAAAGGGACAAGACCTCACTTTTAACCATTGATGCACTGCTTTGATACACTTATCAACTTAATGGAAAATGCAAGACTGGAGAAAAGATCTCCATTGTATCTACTTTCAAACCCACTTACTCGTAGTGAAGAGTCCTCACAATCCATGTGCTTAGGGCCAGCATGGTACTGCCTGCCGCTGTTCAAGTTCTTACACTGCTTTGTGCCCTCTGATCATTTCATTTCTTTCCATTCTCTTCTGTTGAAGCTTCTTCAAATCCTTTGCGTATATGACTTGCCTGGACATTATTTGGCCTTCAACTAGTACCACTGAGGCACTGAAATCTTAAAAGAAAACTTAAGCACGTACACCCATATGATGGCGTAAGCGTCTGCAAATTTAAAACTTACCATTGAAATTAGAACAATCTTGTAAAATCTGAGGATATATCCCCAAGGATAAATCTGAGAGTCTCCAGAGGTCCAGGCACCCAGTTGAGGAAGGGAACATGGTTATAGGAAAGACGGGGATGAATAAAGCTGTTCAGGGCATGGAAGGCTTTGGGCAACAATGCATTCGTATCTGGATGAGAAGATGGGAAGGCCTTAGAAAGTCAAGGAGAAGGGAAGAATGCACCTGCTGGAAGCGGACATGGATACCTGTGAATCAACCGCCATCATGTGAGGCCACTCTCCTCTTATTTCCAATCCCACCAGGCTTCTTTCAGTTGCTGTAACAGACAGAACTCTCTCTTTTAAGGTTTTTTTCCTGGCATTGTTTCTCTGGATGCAAGTCTCAACACCCTACACTTTTTAAAAGGTGTTCTCCTGAATTGGTCTTTAGCCAAAATATTCATTTTTCAGAATGGTCTTCACTAACCCCCTTCATCTTAGTAAGGTTCCTCACATCGTTCTTACACAGACCCCAGTCTTTTCCTTTGAGGCTTGTATTATTTTCTATGGCTGCAACACATTACCATAAAACTTAGTGACTCAACAGTACAAATGTATTCTCTACGGTTCTGGCGATCAGAAGGCCTAAAATTAAGGTGTCAGCAGGCTGCATTCTTTCTGGGGGCTCTTGGGGAGAGTATTCATCCTTCCCTTTTCTGGTTTCTAGAGTCACCTGTATTCCTTGGCTCATGGCCCCCTTCCACCTTCAAAGCCAGCAGCATAGCATCCTCTAACCTCTCTCTGCAGCCATCACCACACCACCTTGCCCAGGTCTGACCCTCCTGCCTTCCTAAAAGTTCTGGAAGAAAATAAAGGTGGTAGGTGGTTTGACATAGGACTAGGGGATGATTTTTGGAATCTGACCTCCAAAACAAAAGCAACAAAAGCGAAAATAAGTAAGAGGGACTACATTATACTAAAACCTTCTGCACAGCAAAGGAAACCACTGGTGAAAGGAAAAGGCAACCTACTGAATAGGAGAGGCCTCCTTAAATCTTTCAGTCAGCTAATTCGCCTCCTGAAGAGAGCCACATGAGACACCCCAACGGAAACCAGCAGAAGAACTTCTAGTCAATCCTCAAACTCATGAGAAATAATAAATCATTGCTGTTTTAAGGCACTAAGTTTTAGGGTGGCTTGTTACACTGAATTATCTATGTCACACAAGGACAATGAACTCTTTCTCATTTTTCTCTGTTACACAGGAGCCTTGACTCAGTGAGATGGGTAAATGTCAGAGTTACTTAATACAAGTTAAGGGATGTATCTCCTGTAATAAAAAAGGGAAGCTGTTCTACCACAGAGTACAAGAGAATTTAGCGTGAAGTCAAATGGCACCAACCTTAGGTCTTGTCTGTGCACACAAACTAGACAGACAGCAGCAAAGATGAACAAATAGACTTGGCCATCTCAGCCTTCAAAGCAGACTGACACATGATTGATCTGGCTGCCACCGCTGGAATCTATCACAAAGGAGAAGACACAGCTGGTTTGCCATGCTTGTCTCAGCAACCAGTCATCTGCATCCCTGTTTTCCATAAGAGCTGCAGAGGTCGAGCATCTTTGGCCCCACATGATCATGGGTGATACGACAGTTACCCACACGCAGTGGACAGGAGAATGGCTCAAGGTTCACTTTGATACTTCTACCCTGTGGAATTGTTCTCAATACCTCAAACCTTCATATTTAGATATTTTTGTCTGCTCTGACCTGCATTCTATGTGAGTTTTCCTGACTTCTACATTTTTGCAGCCTGTTCCAGTCCCATCTATCTGAACTTTCAGGTTTAACAAGAATATTCAAGGCCTCTGGTTCAGGCCTGCTTAGGGGATGATCTTTTGTCAAGCCTACAGCTACCCAAGTCCCTGCACTGCTCCATTACCCCACTAAGCACCCTCTGAGCCCCCATTAAGTACATCAAAGATAAAAGAAGCATTAGACTTGATCCCTGTCCAGCCACCAGAAGCTTCCATATTGAAAAAGTCCTGTTTTCCATTTCTCCAAAAACAGAATTGGGTTCTACTTAATAAATATTCTGGTAAGTAGAAAGTTGTATCCCATACATGGACATCTAATTTGCAGTGAATCAGAAAACCATAAAATACACATGACACCAAAATTATTCTACACACAAGTCAATCACTTTTTTTGAGAATTCATGGGTGCCTTCAGAATCTCGCAGTCTCTGGAATATCAGCATGAATATCAGTTATCATTCTGCTTGCAAAGCAGACAAATACCAATTAGCAGAGATTTCCTATTGACAGAAAGCCAGCTAAGCCGGCTCTCACTCGGAGGAGAAGAAAGACATTATTTAGTAAAATAGAGGAAAAGAATAGAAATTACAAAGTGTGGGAGAAAGCATACTTTTGCCAATGCAAACTTTGACCCTTTCAGTGTTCAACCTTGGAATGAGGCAGGGATGAAGAGTAGTTGACAATACCAGTAAGTACTGTATCCTCAGCAGATCCTTCTGTCAAGACTCCCAACTGGGGTCTAGCTGGAGGAGGACTATCTTACTTTCATCTTGGGAATGAAGAATGCTGGTTGTTTGAAAAAGATGAAATCTTTCTCACATCCTAAAAGGAGCTGGGGAAAGTATTCACTGAAAGGAGATTTATGCTTCAATATCAGAAATAAAGGAGCCAGTCCAAAGAGGAGTTTATAGGTCACAATGGAACCAGAAGCATCGCATCAAGCTGTTAATGGCACCCAGTTGAGTTCTGGAAATAACGTTTCAGAGAAATGTCCAAAAACCAGAGTGAGGAATTAGTCTTCCCACAGAATTATTTAAGACCTCTAATTTGCTGAGAAAGGAATTACTGGCGCAAGACTTTGCAAGGCTGCAGTAATTAAACTAACAAATTATAAGTACATTTATCTGGATAAAAGATATTCATCACCCAGAGGGTGTGACTGCCGTATCATACATGCTCAGCATTCGTACTTCTTGCCATTCGGCATATATTTGCTCTACACTGTGGGAACAGTTTGCTTTCAAAGGAAGGATTTACCTGCAACGCCCCTCACTAAGGTCCTGTGAATGATAGGTGCATAGAAGGCTTCAGATTGCAGAGGAGAAGGCAAGGAGGGAAGGAGGTCCCATTCATTTTAATGCCTGCAGCAGCAGGAAATTAAACTGCCGCTATGCAAAGCTCTGTGGCTAGCATAAGATATGAGGAGAAATATCTAAGTATGGTTATAAATGAGAAAGGTCAAAGACTTATTTTTCTTCTTTACCTTTATGCAATTTATTGGGGGGAAACTGGCATATCATTACTCAAAAAGATAGAAATGAGACCATTACAGTTTCCTTTACTTTGCTGTTTGAGTCAAACTTTGCATTTCAGAGCAGTTCCTCAAGGCAGGGGTGAGGGCATTTACGCTGCCAGGTTTACCCAGGAGCGGGAATAAAAATGATGAAGTCTGGGCACCCTGTCTACATTCCTAGTTAATGATTTGCATGTTACTTAATGATGCCCACAGTGTTCCCAGCAAACCTAACAGGCTCACTTGCTAGTCTATCATCCTGATCACTAAGAAAATATTAAATAAGAACTTCTACTCAGTGTGTCCTTCAAGTTGACCCAAAGTACTGAAAAGCTTCTTTTTAGGTACAAACGTTGTCATTGGTTCCCTGGCTCCTGGCAGGGTATTCTGGGCCCTGAGCTCTTTAGAAATAAGAATGGGGAACATGCTCAGCAGTGTACTGGTTGGCATTTGCCTATTCAGTCCTGGTTTAGCTGATTAACCTCAATCCTGGGCTTCAGCTAGGATGTGTAGTTGCTCCGCCTGAGCTCCCCCGCCCAGGGATTGCAGCCATTGTTGCTGGTACAGACAGGTACCCACACGCACACAGACACCTTCAGGTGGTTAGTTGTGTTAAGGGCTGAATTGTGTCACACCCTAAATTCACATGTTGAAGTCCTAACCTGATACCTCAGACTGTGATTGTATTTGGAGACAGCATCTTCAGAGAGGTGAAGTAAGGTCTTTAGGGTGACCCAATCCAATATGACTGATGTCTTTATAAAATATAAAGAGGATATTAGGATATAAACATGCCCAGAAAGAGCCATATGAAGATACCTGCAGAAGACAGCCTTCTATAAACCAAGAGAGGTCTTAGAAGAAACCAACCCTGACAACACCTTGATCTTGGACATCTAACCTTTAGAACTGTGAGAAATAAATGTCTGTTGTTTAAGCCACCCAGGCTATGGTACTTTGTTACGGAAGCCTGAGAAAAGTAATGTAGCAGCTCATTTGTCTTCAACATGCCTGGATAAGTTACCCTCCCCTGGAATATAAACTGAGAAGGTCATTCCTGGCTCCTGGCTCTGAAGAGCCGGCAAATTAAACCAAAGG